CCACAAGGAATACGCTGAGTATCAAAACTCCAGGATTGCCGTTTCATTTATGAAGATCCTGACAACGAAGAGCAACCCGGTGCCTTCTTGTCAGAATATATACTACGCATTTTTGCAGCACACCTCACCGCAGTCGCCGGGAAAGTAAGGGTGGATTCATTGGTTGAATTTGGCAAGCCTGGATATCAGACTGCACTGGCGCTAACAGCTGTGGCAGTAAGTTTTTTTTATCTCATTGTTGGGGAATGTTAACTATATTCATAGGCTGAGCGCGCTCTCATCTTAGTCAAAGACCAGTTGTTGGTTGATAGCAACCCTGCTGACAACGGTGGTAAAACTCACAAGATTGTACAGACACTTAACGAAGTGACTAATAAGATGAGCCATACCGGGACAGCATTTTCATCTGGAAATTGGGAGACAGATACTTGGCATACATGGACAGTATCAAGACTCTACCCCATGAATGCATCCAAGAGATTCTCGAGCAGTCAGAAAACTATATGAAGAACCCATGTTTCAATCATCGCAGTTCAACAGATGATGGTTCCACCGCCCCAGTCAACAAATGCTCCCACCTTCGTATCTGTAATGTGTATCTATTTCCTCTTTTTTCAACCGCTAACTTTATTCATTTAAACAGGAGCCTCGAGGACACATCATTTTTTCGAGTAAGTACCTCTCAGAATCACCCCCAATTGGTGTACTAACCTATTGACAGATACTACTAACGATATCATCATTCCCCCTCGTTTCCTGCTCTTTCAACCAGCCGCTCCACTGCATGCATACTATACCCGAGTGTGCTCTATTGTTTGGACGCTATAACCACCTTCCTTAAACTTTCGAACCTCCTTATTTTGCCTTATCTAAAGCTCCTGGTCTGATCTGCACGCTCCTTAATGGCATCCTTTTGTGTCCTTACATGTCTTAATGCGCCACTCGCCTTATTTTAAGGAAAATAGCCTCATTTAGGGAAAATAACACTACGATTCTCCTTATTTTGAGTTACAGAAATTTCAAGTTTAAGTTGCAAATAAGTCAAATAAGGCACTTTAAGGATGATTTAAGTCAAATTAAGTCCACCTAGGTTTTCCTGATGTATATAATCAGATGCGCGCAACACTACGATGGCGCGCCTCCGATAGTGTAAATACGAATGAAATTTCAGAATATCGTGGTCGATGCCTCATCAATAGTTTGACAGGTGGACTCGAGGGCTTCTAAATTGAAGCTCCCATCTCTAATGCTCTACTTCCTGCTTAGCTTCACCTGATCTTCTTGCCATGCTCATCCGTGACACAGTCGAGCCAAGAGTCCGCGTGATGCGTTATTTTCCCTCTCCGTGGCCCAGATAGATGAAAATGTATCTCAGACTGACAAGCTATCAGCCATCTGTGCTTCATGCTTGCGGAACTTCACCTGTGTGCTCAGACTGCAGAACTCCGCAAACGTGTAGAATCAACTGTCTGGTGATTTATACTGATTCGCGTTGTATTTCAGTATCAGGCATCAAGGACTGGTTTGGTTGCTAGACGTTCCGGATAATTCAGCTTGCCACTCGGTGCAAGTGTGGGCGGGCGGTTCACTGGCTTTCTAGTAGTGATACGACAAGAAATGGATTTCTCTACATAAACATTGTCCTAAATATACTTTGAAACATTACAACTAAAATAAATACTACAATGGATCTTCAACGAAATATCTCCTCCATGCAAAACACTTGGCAAGCATTGTCCTACACAGTACTGCTAGTTGATACATGTACACGCTCCTGGAAAACAATCGAAATCACGCTAGTTTCTGCGTCAGAGTCGGCCACGAGTCTAGCGTGATATTCTCGAACGCCAAGGATGAGGCGTGGTCCCAGCACGAACATCTGCACGCCCACAAATATTTGAAGAGCACCAGCGGGTGTCTGAACTCCAACAGTGTTTGAATTCTACAGAAATGATTAGCAGTGGTTAGAAGCAGATGTTAACGACAGGTCGGCGTACTATGAGCCCTGGAGAAAGACAAATGAGGTGGAGGCAAGAGACACCAGCAAAACTAGCACATGCGGGACTTTAGCAGAAAAAGATGAGCATGTTCACATTACAAGCTCACCTTGCAAAACAAAGCACATGGGATTTTATCAGCACTCTGAAACAGTCCCCGATGGTCGATCCTGTCAATGGGCCAAGTCGTCGCAGGTCGCGGAAGTGTTTGACAGCAATCCAGACTGAAAGACACAGTGCGAGGACCTCCCAAACAGTGTTGAGCATCCAAACTATTGAGGGCAGAAGCGGGGCATCACCCTCAAATCCGCATGTATGAAAGCCAGAGAGTATCAGCTCCTCTGGGAATCATCCAATGAGATGTGCTCTTCAAGTCAACAAGTAAAACTTACCCCCTAGAGTATGCATGAGTCCTATTACCGTGATTACTCCACAGGTGATGTTGACAGCCAGGAAGATAACAACAAGGAAGATGAGCAAGATTGTAGATCCCTGATACATGGCATGTAACCGAGCAATCATGATAACTCACATCATGTTTCAGTTGAGTCAATATTACCAAGGTATTGTTGCTGGGTAACTCACCGCCCAACATGACAGCTACGACCATATTTGTCCCATTTGCTGCGTAGTTAGTGATATTGCCTGAAACACCCGATTAGTGATTGCCTTCGGCCTAGGATCAAATATTCGACTCACACCTGTTGAGTCCTTATATTGAGCCAAAATCAGTGTTCAGAATCTCACTCACCCCTACATATGAGTGTATTCAATGGATGGGAATGAGGTGGTTGCGGAATACTCACTGCATCTGTCAGCGGGACCATTGTCATATTTGCTGTGCTGCCGGTCAGAAGGATCGAACACAGTGCATATGAGACATACGCAGAACGCTGGTACTGATAGCAAGGGATGGGCTATTAGTACAGCACCGACTTGTTGACCTCGACACATACACACAATATGGTATTCCAATATAACGTATCTAGAACATTTTGGAGTCAGCACAACTTGCAAACCACGCTTTAGCTTAACATGAAGTAGGAACAGCGAGATACAGCACAGTCATCAGAGACCAGCGTTGCCTCTGCCCCAAATTCATTGTATTCTGTTGCTTTTCTTCTGACATGAGACTGTCACTCACCCAGATCAGTTCAATCTACGACACCATTCTTAGCAAGTCGGCCACTCCAGCAATAACACCGACCTACCTCTTGTCCGAGTGATAGCACTGGAAATATGATGAGAATATTAGGGTTTTCGAATGCTGTCCTGCTCACCCCAATCATATACGACCACGACGCCGGCGGCAACTGTGAAACCGCAAGTCAATGTTAGATCGAGACATCACCAATTGATATGACGAACCCATCCAATAGCTGAAATAGATATCCGCACTGATGAACGGCCACCAACTGGGATCATTTGAGACTACAGTCATATCCGAAAGATGGGTGTGAGCGAGTGGGGGATGTTGGGGGTCATAACGATCTAGTGTTCGTGCTAGATATACCACCCTTCAGCGCTTGTATCACCAAGATCGGCATGATGGTGATGAATATGAATGTAATGATACCCGCCTTGAAGTATTGCGATGCGAAATCAAGCAAAAGTGGAAGCCTTCGATTAATCAATCAAAGTAGACTTTGATTCGGTTTTTAATACCCTGTTATCATTCGAACCTCGCTCGGTTCCTTTGAACAATCCTAGACCCTGTACACCCATTGTACGTATCCGTGATAACATACCAAACCTTCGTGAACCTCGTGCTCGGAGAAGTGGACCCGAGTCAGCACCCAATGCAAGGGCCTGCCGCTGTATAACCGGGGACGAGAGTACTATAACGAGGTAAATGTTTATGAAATATGTATGCAGTGCGGGAGACTGACTGCCACTTCAATATGCACCCTTATGGCGCCATATGCGCGAGTCCCTGAACTTGGCCTCAATACCACAGATAGAAGGAGAGTGTGGCATAGTCTGCTACCTCGTCGTTTCGCTGGAAGGCTACACCGAAAGCATTCTTCATCGTACCGGGTATTTTGTTCTTCCAAAAACCAGGCTCCGTAGATCACTGTACACTGGCTCGATGTTGCAAAACCTTCGGACTTGATATTGAACGTTGTGGGCCCATCATGATACATTCATGAATAACTCGAGAAGGCTGCAGGAAGCACGGAAATGAAAGTGCATGCGGCACCGGTCTGGGTTTGAAATTGTTCGAAGGAACCGACTTGGGGTAAGTTATTTGCCCTCTGGCCACACGGTACATCGTCAACGTTCCCATTTTCCAATATATCCAGAACATTTCTCTACTGACCACAGATTTGAATCCACATGTAACTATCATATATACGTTCTGTTAGCCAATTTCCGAACTGATAGCATCAATCTTCCATTATATGGGACCTATTTAGAGTATCTTTTTGCAATGTCGAGTCTCGACAGCAACACTGCCTGCGCCCCTACGCCCTCACCTTGTAAAAAATATTCACTTATTACTACGATCGCCATCACACCCACCCTATATATTTGGCCATTTGCACGCAAAATGAGCTTACTTGGGACAATATCAAGTCCCATAGTGTCGTCTTCACTGCCACATTTCTTCTTGCGAGACTGCTTCACTTCATCAACACAAGGTAAGCATCTTCCGTGAACGTTCGAACTGGAAACTTCCCGCCATCGATATACCTCGTGTCCCCATCGATACATAAAATCGTCGATCATAATGGCTCTCATCCTCATGACCACCTTCCATTGATTCGTTCCGCATATCGCCGGTCACCCACAAGTTATCTTCCTTATTGGTCATTCTAACGGCCCACATGGGAGACATCTTGATACCTCCTAACGCCCCCACAAGATATCTTCGAATACATCCCCATTCTCTACCTCCACACTCTTGCATCCAGAATCACCGTTCTTAAGGTCACTGTATCATGATCACGATTACAGGGTTCATTGCAAGATTTTCGCCTGCCCACGTCACCTATCCCTCTTCACCCAGAGGGACACTAGTTCAGGAGAAGGCGAAAGTTTTTATGCTGCGGAACCCTTGGGCCATCGGCTGCCTGATCTCAGACAGGTTGCTTCTACTTTCCATTCTCCTCGCTTTCCATTCGTTTGGTCCAGATGACTGATGATGCCATGGTTCTGAATATATATTTTTCAGCAATGCCATGGTATCATCAGTCACCTGGCCTTGTCCAATCACTCTCGTTTCTTCTCATGTTTCCTTAGACAAATCATTCCAAAGTATTTCGCAGGCTCATAGAATTTCTGGTCCATCAGCTGTCTGGGCCACAGCTCACGTACCCGGGCCAACAGATAATCAAGTGAAGCGACGCATTGTCTTTCTGATCATCGATCATCTGCTGGCTCCAGGGTCGGTGTCAATGATGGGTATATGTGCGTACGTATCTCGTTCGGTGCTTTACTCTGACAGTCGTCCCTAGCAGGATAGACCCCAGCAGATCTTACAAGGACACAGACCCCAACACACAGTTT